CAATTAATATATCGTATCAATTTCAATGGAAATGCACAGTAAACGCGTAAAACTTCTCCTCTTAAAAATCTTATTTCCCTTTCCTTCCTTAAATTGTCCCATGTCCTTATGTATAAGACAGTTATGGGTCGTCGACGAAGAGATATCTCCTTCTCTCGAAGAAAGACTAGAAAAACGAAATAGAAAAGATCGTGGAATATCTCCTCGCTTTTTACCTTTCTCCCCATCTTCGTCCAACAATTCCACCTATCAGAGCCCTCTGGATTCCGGGAGGCAGGGTTAACACGCATCCGATGGCTTTTATTTTATTCACGGTCAACTGCAGACCAACTGGAGGCCTGGTCCATCGAGACTCGTGCCGTTTGCGAGGCTGGAAGAGATTTAAAATCCTTTTTAACCCCGGTTAAAAACCGTATTTGTGGCCAAATCGACCTGAAAACTTTCGAACCACTTCACCGAAAATATGATGGGTCAGCAACGGTCGATCAGCTTGAATGCTTGATCTAGATCGACCCTTGATCTCGCCTCGGGGATCTCTAAGTTCTTTTTCATTCGCATGAACTGCTTCACCGTGCACCTTCCTTAAATTCTGTCCTCTGGTATACGTAACTCTAATCTCGATGAAAAGGGGAGAAAGTTCGATACAGATGGACGTGACTGCGAAAAAAGAAGAATTGAATTTTTTTTTAGATGTGATACAATTTCTCTGGAGAGGGGGGGGGGGGTTTATTCGAAATGGAATATTTAGATTTAATGGAAATCCTTTTGTATTAAGTATTTTATTCTTGGTGATGCATCTGTGTGACGAGAATATAAATAGGAAAAGTTCTTAACTTGAACGAAAGATGGTAAGGGTCCTTATATTTTGAATACGTACGCGATCATTATTGTAATTTTATATTACATAAAAAACTAGAAATAAAAATTTTTTTGAATTAGATGTAGTGTAATATTCTTATAACGTAAAAAGATCATAGAATTTGTAATATACTCACCACTGTGTGTAATTAAATCTCTTTAATGACTATATTTTTTTAAAATATTTAAGAGAAATTTTAATATCTCTTAAATAGTAAAAATCATCTGTCACTTTAAAGAAACATTTCTAGTTAAAAAAATTGGTGTCCAACAGCCGTTTCTTCATTCATTTATTCATCGTATACAGTGGCAAGAATATAAATAGAGAAAGTTAATAACATAAACATATTTACATACACAAGACACGACTAACAGCATCTTTCTTTTTCCGGTTGAAGAGAAAAAAAATATATATTAGAAATCGTTCGAAGTGAACTACATATTCACAATGAATATGCATTTGCATTCTTTTTAAATCCAATTTTTTTTTCTATTTTTTTTTTTTACATATGTCGAATCTTCTTGTCATTCTATTTAAAAAAAAAATATCAGTCGAAAAACTATTAACACGGGATATTTTGAAAAAATACTTTTTAACATGACCATATTCGATGTATGTAAAAAAAGAAAAAAAAAGGTTTTTATTCAAAAAAAGAAATAGTACAAAAAAATACATTTTGTCATTTCAATTTCTAACCATTTATCTTTTTCCTCTAACACTTTTTCCAATTAATAAACCGAAATATGAATCGATACCAGTGCACGATTATATACACCATAGTATTAAAGAAATAAAAATGAAACTATTTAATACTTGATACTCGAGTCATCCAATCGAATTAAAAGTAAGAATTTCTCTATTTGCTTACCACTGTATCCATATTATATCATTTATCATCGATATCTTATTTCACTCGATGATACAAGAAACCAAAAAAAAAAAAAAAAAATCCATCTCTTTCTTTTAACGTTATATATCATATATGTCATATTAAAAAACTTCCAATCCGTATAATTAAAAGTTGACCGAGCTTTCAATTAATTTCAAAGTTTTCCCCGAACACACTCTTCATCATTCTACATCAAACTTGACGTTAATTCGACGATCGATTTCCCGAGTCTTGCCCATCTCCTTTTTTCTCCTCGAAACGTACTGCTTACTCGTTGGGCGGATATTATTTTACAAAGCGAGCCTCTCCCTTTTGATGTCATCAGACGATCCTCGCACGGCGAGAGATATAACCAATTCTCCCTGTAATCATCGACCAACCAATTACCGTTTGTCAACCATCGTACCACTCGAAAGACGATCATCGCGGCTTAAGATTACCTTTCTGACATCGATGTTAACGGGCCTTTCAATCAACCGTTTCACTTCCGGTACATCGATCCTGGTAATTCTGCTCCTAGAGTCTTCGAGATTCGCTTTCGAGATCCTCATCTTGGGCGCGCGGAATGTTGTTCATCGATCAGCGCCTGAAACATACACGACAGAAATTGTTAGTTGAGAGCAATGATAATGGTCGAAAATTGTCTCGAATCATTTGTTCAATTCAATTTTTCTTTCCAATAAATCACAATATAATAATAATAATAATAATAATTTATAAAATAAAATTACGCGCACTAGTAAGAAGAACAAGAAAGAAGATTGGAAAAATTAATTTCACATTTCCCTTAATAATAGCTTGTTCCTTTCTCTATTAAGAAAAAAAAAATAATCTCAATCTCTTCGATCTCAGGCAACTCAAATATCTTGCCTAATTCGAGTATCGAAGTTCCAAGTTGCAAGTTTTGGTAACGGGTGCCGAGTCCCACGCAGATCCCGTAACCCGAGGCAAAGACATCAAACGAGGATTAGCACTATAAAATTTCTTCCCTGAGCGAGGTCCATTATTCACGGTTGTCGTCGGGTTATTAAACGTCCATTACGCATCGTTGACACTGCCACCGTCCTTACGTCACGTCAAATAAGTGAAATCGTTTGTTCCACGCGAATCAATTTAACCGCCATCAACGGCGCATATTTTCGTGAACATGCAGCTTGTGCTCACTCCCTTACTCGTTTCGTTTCGTCGGCGAGTAGATGACGCGAATTTCGAGGGACCGTTAACGAGCAATTTCGACTCGGACTTGAAACTTTCTAACGAGTGGACGGACCGCTTCTTGACACAATCTTAGTCGTTAGGAAAACCGGAGCCGAGCAACAGGCGGTCGATTCGGAATTTAAGTGTTTCGTTAGAGGCTGCTCCCTTAAACGACGAGAGAAACGTGAGAGTGGGGATTCGTGTCTGAAAAATTAGTAAATTGGTACAGATTAGCTTCGTGAACGAATCAATCTTGAAGAAAGGATTATTTTGGAAATTAGATCAATATTTTTCCTTCGATCGTCGTTTTGTATAATCGTATTTATTTAATAGACGCGATTGAATCAAACGTTTCTTAATTATTGATGATATTAATTGAATTAAACTGACTAATTCATCCGAAGGAAGGAAGAATCGTTTTACGTAGAAAACTATCATTAAAATTTTAGAACAAAAAATAATCGATCGATAATTTTCTCTTTCTTTTGAATCGAATATTGCGTTAAATTCGTTATTAATTCGATACCGAATAATAGAGGGATGGAACGATGAGAGGGTTGAGTCTCGATCGAGAACGAGAAATAATCAAGATGATGAGTTTTAAATACTGATGCTTTATTTTATATAAAGTATTGTATAAATGTATAAACGCTATAAATATGTGGTATCTATCTATGGTGGTGGTGGGGTGCTAGTCGTGATCGCAAAGAAAGGGTATGACGAGGGCGGGCGGGGTCGGGGGCCGGCAGCGGCGCGCCATCTATTTACATTCATTCACTCACGGGAAGGGCTGACCTACCATAATCTACCGGTCTCTCTCTTTCACTAACATATAACACGATTATATAATATATGTGTAGTGTGTGTATATATACGAATACACATATAGCAATAGTGTGTGTGCGCGCGTGTGGCAATGTGTTCATATATATATATACGCGAAGGAAGTAGTAGTAATAGTATGTATACATGTATATATATATAAAGAGAAAACATATATGCGCATGGACGAGTAATGTAATAATAATATGTATGCTTGAGTGCGGCAGTGAGTATAACAACTTGTGAGACCGTGAAGCGATCGATGATCGTCGCGCGGCTCATCGGAAGAGAGAGGGGGGAGAGAGAAAGAAAAAAAAAAAAAGAGTGGTAAATAAAAACGTGTGAAGAGTATACGGCGGCCTTACGCGGATGGTGGAGGACGTAAGAGAGAGCGAGAGAGAGAGAGGGGGGGGAGGGGAAAAAAAAAATAAAAAAATAAAAAAAATAGAGAATACTGCCGGAGCAACGGTGGGTGTTCAGAAAACAGAACAGACCCAGTTGGTCCAACGACGAAGCGCCAAAGCTTGTCCACTTGCCGGGTCCATGGACGGAGCAGCCGGGTTCAACGTGCTTGCGTTGACTTCTGGGTAACTGGCGCGGTGGTTTCCAGGTCCTTTGATATGGAGAAACCTGTGGGTTGCCGTTCGTCCGTTCGACACGGGCCCGTCGTGTGCGCTCCAAGATCGCGACCAAGATGCCCGTACGTCGCGTTCCGCCGTTGCAACAGCCGTGGCTGGGCCAATCACGGCTTCGTCCGCGTCTTCCTCCCCGTCGCGATCGCGATACGACATGATGAAATATAAAGAAATTGACTAAATTTAATCCGTGCCTCGTCTTTCGATCGAGGGGGACGAGTCGCGTCTCCTCGACGAGGAGGCGGGACGAGAGCCGCGGATCACGAATGGCCTGGGGCCACGGTGTGCAACACTTTGCCGAGATCTGAGCCCGTGATCGCGTAGATGGCAGGTCGTGGGAAGAGCAGCCATTTGCTCGGCATTCAACACGCGCCTTCACACCTTGTCTCGATATATACCGACTGGATTACTTGTGATTAGAATATTCCGACTATATACCGACTACACCACTAACGCCGGCGCTATAACCATGTTCCTAGGTTGGACGAAGCTTTGGGAAGAAGACGTTGAGCGCGTTTGAGGATCGTTTGAGACCGGTAAGTGACTGTGGTGGGTTTGCCGCCGTCGCCGAGCCGAGATCGCTGGGGCCTTAGAACGTCTAGTACTTGCCGAGTGCCCCGGGGATGATAGCTCCGTGAGAGCCGAGTCCAGCGTGGATGGCGCCAGACGGTCCGTTGATCACAGCAACACCACCGTCGTGTCCGCCAAGGCCAGCGCCGTATCCGGCGGCACCACCACCCACAACAGCGATGGCACCTGTAAACAGAGATCGCCAAGATCGAGCAAAGATCGATGCATTCTCTCCTCCTTCTTCGCCTCTGCTCAATACGTATTCGATACGCATTCTTCTCGCGACTTTCTCGCGGAATATTTCTCGCCGAGTGGAAGGAAATACAGACCAGCACCACCGAGGCCGAGAGCTGGACCAGCGAGGCCACCAGGCGCGGCAGCTGCAGCGGATCCAGAGCTTCCGTCGTCACCGTTGATGTTGCCACTTCCGGCGTAGAAAGATACGACTCCCACGGATGGTCCTACCAAGTTAGCGGCTCCCTGGGACGGTCCAACGAGGGTGGAGGTACCAGCGGATGCACCCACGGAGGTGAATGGGCCGGTTGCGGGTCCTACGAGGCCAGCTGGGCCGGTACGTGGTCCACCTACGTTCTTGGCACCTTCTTGGGGTCCAACGCTGTCAGATGGTCCGCTCTGGGGTCCAACGTTAGCCTTGGGTCCCTCGGCAGGTCCAATGTCAGCCCTGCCACCGATCACTCCTGCTCGACAGAACGAAAGGTATCCCGTCACCGATCGACCAACGTCTCTCTCTCTCTCTCTCTATCTCTATCTCTCTCCCTTCTAAACGGATCTTTGTTTACGCACCACCAGAGACAATCTGTTGAACACCAGCAGCTCCAGCCGCCGCCGCGGATCCAGCGGCGTAGCTGGCACCAAGAGCGGAGGATCCCAAGCTGGAGGCACCCTCTTGGAGAGATCTCGCGCTGCCAGCACCAGCTGCCAGACCACCAGAGAGACTAGCACCTCCGCCGACCAGGCCGACTCCCGCGAGGCCGACGCCGCCTCCGTAACCGCCATGACCTCCGGCCAGGGCATAGCCGGGTCCGTGCGCGATTCCGGCGCGCGCCGTCGCCACTGCCAGACAGGCGAACACAACCTGCGGATCGGTCGTCAGGGGTCAGCTCTAGTTGTCTCGTCGTCGTCGTCGTCGTTGCGTGGCCAATCGGACCAGTCGTTCGGGCTCGTGAAAGGCAATAAAACTCGAAGTGAAATCGGTGGAGGAGAACGAAGACGAACTCCGTCTATCCTTCCCGATTCCACGGAAGCGATTACTAACTCGACCTAACCGCCGCCTAATTCAGCCTCCCATTGACTTGGCACCGATTACCACCGAGCCTCGTGTAACATAACCACGGCTTTCACTTTCGATACCCGTTACACGATTGCGGATCGGCGTTCCACGCCATCGAGAAACGATTCCCGCCACCTGGGGGAAACGTCGTCCCTCCAGCCTTTTAAACCGTGAAAGCAACGATGCGACCGGTTGTTGCCTCCTTTAATATCAAAGTCCGCGCGCCCGTGCCCGCGCTGCGATCACCGGATGGAAGTCGAGCGTGAAATTTCGCAACGTGCTACGGAAAACTCGAACGAGAATTTCGTAACGTTTTCGCAACTCCGTGGAAAGAATTCACGCCTAAGTATCGGGATACTTATCCTTTCGATCGATGCGTTTTACAAGGGAAGGGAGGAGGGGAAATTACTTTTTGAAAAAATTGAAAAATTTTGTTATCTCGCGAAAGGAAAAAGGAAAAAAAGAAAAGAGAAAATTGGCTCGCGTATTTTACGCAATCGCGTATCTAATGCGATTCTAGATTCATAATTAATGGACGGCGAGCGATAATTATCGTTTGAAAATGCTTCGAGTTTGTTTTTCTTCGGAGAAAAGAATTTCGATCTCGACGATTTCCACCTTGCTATATTAGTGGAAACGACCGGTTCTCTTACCGCGAATCGATCGCGGATCGAGGAGAAAATCGGTGAAACGAGCGCGGAAAGAGGTCGAACTGGCTCCGATCGATTCTTGTCTTGTCGAAAAGGGAACTGCTCCTCCAACGAGAGGAGCGTTGTCACGCCCAGCTCTCTCGAGCCGCCGCGCTTCGAAACGAGCGCACTACCCGGTATTATGCATATCTAACTTGGCGAAACTTTCACATCCCGGTTTACATGGAACGATCCCGGCCGATCCGTGTGACGTGGCCGACCGAGCGTTCTCTCGCGACCCAACGATCGGAAAACGATCGAACGGCTGTGACTCTGTGCTTGTTTCGAAACCCGCCTTTTGCATACGCCCTTCGTTTCGTGATTTACGAAATCGTTACTTATCTCAATTTAACACTCGAAGAGATAACACTCGCTCGAAGATTTTTCTTTTCGTTTTTTTCTTTCTTTTCGTAAGAATTTTTGTAACAAAATGAACCGATCGTGCTAATTTGGATCCTCCCATTTTCAGGGATGAATCGAGAGGCGAAGAGGGGAAGAGGTTACTCGTGAATGAAGATGCGCCAAGAATAGAACCGGTCGTGGGTTCAGCGGCTGAATGACGATGATACTATTACAACCGGTTCCGCGGTCAGTGTACCGTGTAACGAGACTTCTTGCCGCATGAATGGAGCGCGTAAGAAGGGCAAAGCCGATTCGACGTGTACGTACCACTGCTTGGCTCGAGGAAAAAAAAAAAAAGGAAAGAAAAGAAAAGAAAAGAAAAGAGACCCGTGACATTGAACGTCGATAGAGTTGGCATTAGAATCCGATTAGCTTTCGATTTTCCTCCAGCTTTTAGCGACTCTGTTTCACGAAAAGATCCGATCGATTTATCCGATCTAATACCGAATACCGTCACCCGAAGCTTGATTACTCGCGTATCCCAAGACGAACGGATGGAAACGATTTCCAAAGCGGAAAAGATCTGATCGATGGAAAACTCTAGTACGCACTCTATGCAAAAAAAGTCCGAGAATCGTGTTACGGAAAAGATCGAGGAATATCGCGGTTCAAGAGAGCAATATGGAAGATACTGACGATCGAGGAAAAGCGCGAGTTGGTTCGTTTCGTTACACCCCACGAAATAATCACCAACCCCGTGGTGGATACTCACAAAGGCCTTCATGTTTGGTGTGTGTATGGTGGGCTGGTAGTCCGGTGATTGACTGACTTGGGCCGGGCCGGCGGGCCTTATATACGCCTAACTCTACTCTGGCTACGCTCCACAATCACCATCCTTTCGAAAGCAAGGCGCTCCACCACCCTCCCCCCAGAAAAACTATAATCCACGCCGTACCAGCGGCCGGCACCAGAGCCATACCTAGTCCCACCAGCTTGGGTTTAGGGGGCGAAAGAGGGGACCCCTCCTTCCCCTCGCTTGTGCCCATAGCTTGTGAGGTTGTTCGCGGGTATTCCACGGCTTCGTCCACGGCAGGGAGCAGTGCAGCCTCCTACTCCACCCGCCCCACCATCTTGGCCTACACACCAAGTGCAACACCAGGCACCACCCGGGTTACCTGGTCACCACGACTCTCTCGTGTCCAGGCGTGGTGCACGAGGCGTGGAACGGTTGCACGACACCGTAGGTGCTACGGAATCGTAATCCGCCCGGATTCCCTGACCTCTTCCTGACACGGTTCCTGCACAGGTGCACCCCGTGGGGATGCGTCATTTGCTCGAGATCGAGATCGAGGGTGTGTTTTTTTTTTTTTTTCTTTCTTTTTCGAATTCGACTATTCTCCTCGCGGATAAATATTCTTTTCCAGAGAGGAGTAGCTTTCACTCTCGACTCGCAATCCAGGAGTCGGAGAAAAGTACGTGTTTTTTATCTAAAAGAAAGAAAGAAAATTGTTAGAAAGATTATAGTCGAGATACAACTCTTTCGATTACATGTTTCACGAAAAGATTGGAACGGAGTTCGTCTTTTATTCTATTCTTCTCGATTAAAATATTCCGCGTCTTTGAAGTACGAAATATAAAAGGAATACTTAGGGTGTCTAAGTAATGATGCAATCGCGAAGCGCATTACGGCACATTTTCGTCGCCAAGGAAACGAAGATCGATCAGCTGATCCTCACGTTCAATTTTCTTTTTCCTTTTTTTTTTTTAGCTCTCGAAGCCAATAATGATAATAAAAAAACAAGAGACATTAAAAAACAAAAGTGGAAACGCAGCAGGCATTCCTGTTAACACAGTCGCAGGAAGTTTCGATTGCAACAGCGTGAGATTTAGCCCTGAAAAGCGCGCAATTTCTCACGATCTCTCGTAAAGAAGTAAAAGTGCGGAATTAACCGTGCAAAACTCTGAATTGAAATTTCGCGAAGACGACAAGAGCAAGGATGACCTCGTAGATCTCGATTCGAGATCCCATTAAACGAGCTCCATCTCTTAGCTGAGAAAGGATAATAAAAAAGAGAATGAGAGAGAAAGAGAGAGAGAGAGAGAGAGAGGAAATGGCAGCGAATCTAAGAATGGTGAAGCGCTTGGACCAGATTATGACCCAGGTCATTACCTGGAAACCTAGCGTCGAGAAGGAGCGTGGAACGCTCTAAAGAGTTAGGAATTACGGGCCATTGAATGGCCTTAAGAAACCTGAATTCTTTTCTAAATAGATTGGCTGCTGCCGCCGCTTGTTACTTATTACCTCAACCTACTAATTCCCATTGGCATGGTGTATAACGGAAAAGGGGTTGCCTCTCATTATCCTCGACGATTTCGAATTACGCCAATTCGTCTTAGACGAGAACATCTTAATTCACCTTTTTATTTCTCTTCTTAATCGAGATTTTATTTCAATCTCGATTATCGATCGAATTCGATATCCTGATAGATTCTATATATAATATAAGACGAAATAGTCTCTCTCGTTGCAACGTTGGGAACGAAGCAACGCGTGTTACGTTATTGTATAAGGAACAAGGACACTCGGTTAATTATTAGGAGAAATTCAGTTTGCAAAATTGGCCCATTACCGGAGCCCACGTTTTTCATCCAGCCTCTAACGACGTAATCCGCGTAATGCTCGTCTAGATCAACCGGCGGCATCGATCCCATGTTCGCAGTTGCCGAACAAAGAGAAGATTTGCTCGCTCCCTCCTCCTCCTCCATCTAGAAATTCTTCGCGATATATTTACAAAGATAACATTATACAGATCTTCTTTTTCTTCTTCTTCTTCTTCTTCTTCTTCTTCTTCTTCTCGTGAGCGCGATCTACATAATTGTGCAACCGTTGATCACCGATCCCTCCGCTGTTTACCAAAGAAAAATCCCTCGGTTGTTGATAAAACGGTCTTAAGCGGAACGCTTCGATAAGCGGCTTTTCATGTATCGCGCGCCATTATCTTCCCTCATCGTGATTATTCGAGGCGTCTGATTAAGGATAATGGCAGGGTGGTACATGTGAGAAAGGGTGAATACGAGAGGAAGAGGGACACGATTAAATCATATTTTTTAATTAAACCACGCTTCCGAATGACTCCTCGTCCGTGCGTGTATAACACAGCCGGCTAGTTTTCCGGCTCGTGCAAAGTGAAAGCCATTATATTATTTGGCGTACGCCGATAAAAATTCGCCGATCTATTCGCGAAAGTCGCCCGCGCACCGTATCTTTTCTCGCCAGCCCTGACCGGTTTCGAATATATAAAGCGATAGCGGCGGCTGTACTCGCCTCTTTTCGCTCTTGGCCACCCTCGAAACTTGGCCAATCGATCGATCGTTGCCAATCAATTAGAGAGACAGTCTCACAAATAAACCGGATCGTTTCCTTTATCGTTTCGTCGTAACGGGTCCCAATCGATTCCAAGGGATCGTCTTCCGCGCGACGATGGGATGGAAGGAAAGTTACGCGTTCGAGAAACGCATTAGAATTCCATTAGAAGGATAAAGGAAGAAAGGCAGAAAAATATGGCGCGATAGATTATTCAACGAACGGCGAAACAACCAATTGTGCAATCGATCGTTTCTTTCTTTCGGTTTCACGGTGTCACGGTTGACCAATAACGGCCCTATTAATATTGTGCGTTTATTGGAAACTTTACGTTCCATCGAACGCCATCGATAGAAAGACACGTACACGTTTTCTGACCTCGTTTCCCCCGGAGGAGTTTTTTCCCTTTCTTTCTTTTTTTTTTTCTTTTCCTTTTTCTTTTTTTCGTTTCGTATCCGATATCCATTTGGACAGGATCGATTCGATCGATACCACGTTCACGCGCGCCTACGTCCCCCCTGATAAAACCACTTTCTCGTGGACCGTGCAATCGAATCGAAACTAAACTAAACGCGCGTTCCTCCAACTACTGTATCGAACAAATATATGCATTTATCTGTACCGGCTGCAATCTCTCTCTCTCTCTCTCTCTCTCTCTCTCTCTCTCTCTCTCTCTCTTCTCGCGGCAGGACGAATGCGTGGCCCGTAACGTGGTCCATTTCCAATCCGATCCCCGATTAACAGGGTCACAATTTTCGCCCGGAATATCGAAGCTTTTCGCGTGTAAATTGGCTTTCCCTTCACGATCATGCATCGTGTTAAATTCGTGGCCGAGGATTGGATTGGATGGGAAAAAACGTTCAAGGAGCAATGTTTGTGAGAGAAGATGTCTCTAATCGAGATTATTTCTAGCGTACGATGAAGTTTGGTGTCGAGTTACGAATACGAGGCAGCATTGGTGTACGTTTCTCATGCATCGATCGCCACCAATCGGAGCGTGTCCCTTTCTCTGAGCCGTTCAGCTGGACCTTAACAATGGGTTGCTCGTTGTATAGCTCACCCTTGTTGAAACTGAGGGATAGGGAGGCGATTGGAATTGCGACCTTGGCGACAAGGTTGGAAAGGAGAGTTGTATATAAAAAAAAAAGAAAAAGGTTGGAATTTATTAGTTTTCTCGAGATCAATCAAGTATTGCGAGAATCGTGAATATTGCAAGCTACTTTTTTTTTTCTTTGCTTTCATATGAAATTGTTGATTACGAATTGTTGTCGAACGTGAATAAATAATAGATTCGTACAATGAGAATTAAGATAATTCACATTCACTCGTTAACGTTACATAACAGTGTATCGAATGTTTTAAATTTGTGTAAAAAGTTGTGTAAGAGGAATAATTATTCAACGGATTAATTCCTTATTATATCTTCTATCAAATATGAGAAATATTTCTAATTATTAATCTGATAGGGAACGAATCAATTTATATAATATAATCGCATGCCTAACCCATTCTAACTCGTGTAAACTTTGCAACAAGCGGTATTATAAAATTTGTTATGTAGTCTATCAATTCAGATAATCGGATACTATCAAAAAAATTTCATTCATACGAATCTAATGTTGCAATCTACGATTAATAATTAGACCAAGAATATATTTATACATTTACGAGAAATTTAAACGAAAACACAAAACGAATAATAATAATAACAAACCAAACTCAAAAATAAAATGATCATTTTCAACAATCGGATGAATGAATCGAATCTCCATTCACTATTCCACCTCTCACAATTATAAATATGAATTTGCTTTATTAACGAAATAACGTTTAAATTTAGAGAGAGAGGGAGAGAGAGAGAGAATAAATTTAAACGCATGAATAAAATATTAAAAAATCGAAATACAACAATCGTTTCTCCGAATGACGGAATCAAATTTCCATATTCTTCCGATTAAACCGACGAAAAATAATAATAATAATTTCCATAAAGATTCGCCATCTAATTATACAACGTTGCGCGATATCGCAAAGTTAATAAGGAAATTCCTGGTCGAAATGGGGAAAAGGGATCTTCCTCTCCCTAGCTCGAAAAGATCCTCGTCGAGAGAAACTCCTCGATAAGGCGGCGACACGCGGACAATGACGCGCGCCGCTGGCTGCGATGCGCCCGGCTCGAGTCTGCTCGGGGATTTTTATGTAACACGAGGATGTGAAACCGGAGAAATTTTCACGGCGAAGCGGGTAATCCGTGGGAAAAGCGTGGTCGTTCCACGCGAGTCGTGACGACAACGAATGGAAGTCTACGACCCGAGATGTCTGACTCGGGCTAATGCGCCGAGACCGCGTCTCGACGCACGTGTTCGTCGCCTCTTTCTCGTTCCACTTCGCCCCAGTTGCTCTCGGTTCATCCGAGTTCA